CGGGTCTCAGCTTGGCCACGGAGGAGCCCCGTGACCCTGGACAAGGCCCTCCCTGTCCTCTCCTGCACGTCGGCTGCCAGAGGGAAGGGCTGCAGGGCCTTGGGGTCGGGTGAAGCCACCCCCTGGGTCGACATCTGCCTTTCAGACTCTCCAGCTCAGAACGAGGGCTGCCAAAGGGCTCCTCGATCCCCCGGATGTGGGGGTCATGGGACCAGAGCCAGGGTTAAGACCAGACCCCCCCACCCCCATGGCAGCTCTGGTGTGGGAAGAACATGGGCCTGGGACCATGTGAAGATGGGGATAACACTGGTAGCCTCAGGTACCGATGCGTGGAGACAGGCAGGGACCTGGGCCCCGGCTCCAAGGAGAGCGCAGTGGGTGGGGGATCCCGTGAGAGCAGCTCCCCTCTGCCTCCCCCACCCCCACACTGCAGCAGGGAGGCCGAGCCTCAGCATCACCGTCCTACAGGAGAGGACAGGGAGGGCCTTGTCCAGGGCAAGTGGGGCAGTGGGCAGGGTCACCAGGTCACCTCCAGAGGTGGCTGGGGGTGTTACCCCCTCCGGACAGGCGAGGGCAGCAAGGCTGTTCACAGGGCTGGTGCAGCAGGTGTGAGGCAGGAGGGGCGACGGCTGGGCTGGGGGATGGGCTTCACCTACTGGGGCTCAGGAAGAGTTTTGGGGGGCAGTGGCCTGGTTTTGGCCAAGGCTGCCTGAAGCCCCTTCCTCAAAGCCCCAGATCCACTGCTGTGGCTGGCCCTGGATCTCCGTCTGAGCCAGAGCAGGGCCGGTTCCCACGGCCCTCCTGGCACAGTCAAGGCTCTTCAGGGGCCCTGGTCAAGCGTTTGCTGAGTGACTGTGTGACTTGACAGTTTGGTCACAGCTCCTAGCTGAGCAGAGGAGCCTGGAGCACGAGGTGCTGCTGCCCCCTGGTGGCTGCGGCTGGGAGGGCGGTCTCAGGCTTGGGGTGCCGATCCCCAAGGCCTCCCCCCCCGGGCTCAGAGCCACTTGGGCCTGCCTCATATAGCTTTCTGTCCCTGTTCCACTTGTCAGATAAGGAGACTGAGCCTCCGAGGAGCACCTGACTTTCTGTGGGCCACACAGAGCACAGAGGCTGAGGCTGGGCTCCTGCTACCCAGGACTCGGAGGCCTTTCCTTAGTGTTGCCCAGTTAAATTTCAGTTTCAGACAACGAATCTCTGTTCCACGCAGAATCTTGTATTTTTATTTGCTGAGTTTGGCAACTCTCCTCGTCAAACCAGGGAGCGGAGTGTGCGCAGGCCCCAGGGCGGGTCAGAAGCTGCAGGGGCCAGGCCACCCCCAGGGCCCGTCTGCTCTTGACCCTCCCCATTCTCGAGTCAGCAGAGGGGATGGAACAATGGAACAATCCTCCGCTCCCGGAAAGAGCAGCAAGGACGTCGCAGGCGTTTTCCCTCAGGGCACTACATTCCAAGCGTCCCTGACCCTCCCTCGGAACAGCCGCCAGGGAGGGACTCCTCGCACTCGAGGGATTCAAAAGCCTCGCTTGTAGGGGTCGGTGGCCACGGTGGGGCCCTGTCACTGGTAGGGAGGGAGGGGCTGGGTGTGCGCAGCTCCAGGCGCCCACGGGCCGGGGCTCAAAGCCACGGGTGCTGCTGCCGGCCTGCGTGGGAAGGAGACCGAGGGAGAGTGAGGGCCCGGAGCCACGTCCCCAGCCACATTCTCGCCACGGCTTTTTCTTCAGTGAGTGACCAGGACCACAGACTGGCCAGGGAAGCGGACACCTCCTTCCTCTTGGGTCTTCCTGACTCACTGGCCTCCCTTAGACAAGTCACTTGGCCTCTCTGGCTTCAAGTTCAGCAACGTTATTTGTAGGCTAGAAGCGCCAAGTGGACGTGGGAGTCACGTGGCCTGCCTCTGCCCACCGCCATGCGATGGGAAGCGAGCAATTCATTTCTGAGCCTCTCTCCTCACTTGGGAGGCTCGTGATTTCTTTAGTAAGATCAGGAATGCGGACACGTGTAGAAGTGCCGTGCAGCCTCCTCAGGCCCCGATTCTCCTCCCACCCGTTTGTCAGTTCTTCCAGAAAGGCTCTGTGCACGCACGGGAATGTGCATCTGCACACGCACACACGCACATGGTATACTGGCTGTTTGTTCTCAACACACAGAGCACACGACTCGCTGCTCCTCACCCTGCTGGTTCGCACTCTGGCCGGGAGGCGGGCCCCGTCAGCTCCTGCAGGTTCGAGCGGCCGAGGCCCCGTCCCCCTGGTCATCTTGCCTGTCCCTGTCAATGGACATGTGGCGTGTTTCCAACGTGTGCTGTTAACAGTGCAGTGAAGAGCCTGTGAGGGGGTTTCTGTCAGGAAATCCTTAAATAGCTGGGTCAGTTTGGATTGTAGTATTGCCCAGTGGCCTCCAAAGAGATTACCCCACGGTTCCCTTTCCCGTCTAGTGTGAGCACGCCTGCTTAGCCAGCAACCGAGGAAACCCCTTCATCTGCCCACCGGACATGGGGTAGTCTGTTTTAATGTACACTGCTCCAGTTTGGAAGTCTCACACTCTTAAGACTTTTCTGTAAAATCCATGCTTGTGACTTGTCTATTAACATTGTGCTTTTATCGACCAGAGCCTTCCAGTATTTGGAAAGTCAGCCCTGTTCATGTGGTTGTTTGTCCCTTACCTTTTTGACTTCAAATGTGTTAATTTTGGGTCTGCTTTGTTACAACTCTCACCTCAAATGTACTATGTAAGGAGTTGGGGAGGCTCTTCTTGCTCTTTCCAGGCGTTGGCCCACGTTCCCCACACTACACCAACTCTGGAGTGTGGGGTGAGCCCTACGATCTGTATTCAGAAGATGCTCCCCGAGTGAACTGAATGCAGGCTGAGACCACTGCCTTCATCTTGGACCAACAGCTTGAGACCCCCGGGTCCCTTCCCATGGGGGGCCTATCTGGAGTCTCCAGCACTTTTCAGGAGGAAAATTTACCCTCTGCCTGGTGGAGGCCCAGAGCCATAGTCACTTCACATTCAAGTCTGGAAGTGTCCGGTTTCTGTGAATGACTAGACAGTGCCTTTTTTTGTTGTTGAGAGTGAGCGAGCTCACACTCAAGTGTGGGGTGGAGCAGAGGGAGAGGGAGAAGCAGACTCCCCATGCTGAGCCCGACGTGGGGCTCGATCTCACGACCCCAAGATCATGACCTGAGCTGACATCAAGAGTCAGACGCTCAACCAACCAGCCACCCAGGTGCCCCTAGACAGTGCCATCTTTCACCACATGGCAATAGGTAACTGCGCACGGCAACCTAGGACCTGATGGGTCTTGGAGGAGTGTCGACACATATCCAGCATCTGAGATCTCCATCCTCTTTGGCTAAACTCACTTGCCCACTCCCCGGTGTAAGGACCAGAGGTGGCCATTTGGCCCAGGCCAGGCCACATTACCCTCCAGACCCGAACGTGGCCTTGGCAGAGCCCAGAAACTCTGGGGGCTTACAAGCGTTAAGCAGGCTGTCGGGAGTGAGGCTGAGGCTGTTGTGTGGGTGGAACAGGACAACCCAACAGCTGGGTGGGGACTGGCTGAGAGAAGAGCAGTTTCCAGATCCTTGGCATACTTTGAGTGGAAAGCCCTTTCTCTTTTCCATCCAAGCTCACTGCTGCCACTAGGAGATCTCAAGCCCTTCCTGTTCAAGCAGAAGGCCTAATTTACCAAGATTCCAGGCTTGGTGACTAGCTCCCATTCCTCAACACCAATTCCTTTATTTTGAACATCCTGAGGAGTCAGAAAAGGATGTGCTCACAGAAGTGGGACAAACAGTCAGTTTAAGAGGTCTTTCCCTCCCCTTGGCCCCCACTCCAGTCAGAACTATTTTGTTTGTAGCTCCTGATGTATGTCCGTACGCATGGCAACATCATGTATGTACGTATGGCAACTAAAACCACATTCAGGTCTAGGAAGGGAGAGCAGAGCTGGGGACATGCCCAGCCCGTGTCTGGCTGAGTGGCCAAGGAAGAAGGGACTCTGCAACCACAGCAATGCAATGTCCATGTGGAACTTAGGTCTTGAGGGGGGGACGGACGGTGTCTTTTTAGAAAACAGGTCATTCCCCTCAAATCCTTTAGTAAATGTACTAATACAGCACTAGCTGGAGGGCCTGGCTTCATATACCTGCCGAGATGAAAGGAGCTGCAGTACTCCCCTCCCATCTGGACTCTGGTCTTCCCATGGCCCCCTGCTATAGCTGGTGAGACAATGCTGCGCAGTGACAGTGGGGACTAGTGGCTTCCTAGAGCCACGTCTGGCTTTTACACGGCCTTCCTTCCCATGTACGGCTACTGCACGATTTGACACTCTCATCTTGGGGGTTACACTGTATGAGAGCCCGATGTCCTTTTCGGGGGGAGTAGGGGTACGAGTTGAGTAAAAGAACATAAAAGGCCAGTGGTCAAGGTCAAAGAAGGTAGAGATCTACAACACAGGATAATTGTTGAATTTATTAAAGTAAGCTGACCGCCGAACGTTGTACCACATTCCTAACCTGCAGCTCTGCAACTTGTCCCCAGAAAGACGACAAGTGGGAAGGGAACATGTGTCCCGCAGGCAGTGCTCGGGGGGCTTCTGGGGCCTTCCCCGGGCACAGCCCTGACACAAGGCAGTTAGCAAAGGGCTCTAGGCACTCCTTCATAGCCACTTCTGGGGACATTCGGGGTGGGCCGAGCCGGGTCAGCAGCAGAGGGGACGGCCTGCCTCACCCACGCTTTTCCTTCTACCTACATGAGGGCTAAATCCACTGTTCTCTGTGAGGATCCACAGCAAACTTCATACAAGACTCATGTACTTGAAATAAAAATGCTGAACAGGAAGATGGCATTTCAACAGATTTTCAAAATACTGAAAACCACCAACTCCTAAGTCCTCTGGGACAACTTTCTCAGCCGGTGGGACAAAACATCAATTCCCACTTCTAAAACACATTCAAGGTGAGCCGTTTGGAATGGACACACTGTAAAAATTCCCCAATGCCTCATTATTTCAAGATACTTTATTTTTAAAACAGGTCACAACACTAAGCTTCCGGCCCGCCCTGCCAGTGTTCAAGCTACAAACGCTTGCTCAGCAGCAGGGGGGCACGCCTTAATAGCATGTTTGAAAACTGAATAAAAATCCATATAAAACAAATATTCAAATAGTTTCCATAGGAACACAGATAAGTGACCCCATCTCCTAGTCTTCCATACTGTTGCATCCGTGCCAACCCTACTTACAGACATTTCAAAACTAGCAAGAATTAAGTTAAACGGTCCCCCCAAGTCCCCCAATTCAAGCTAAACTCGAAGGTAACAGCTACAGGAGTGGCACCTACACGTTGATGCTGGCGGAGGCACAGGTGGCCGGGGGGCGCTTCAGCCCGCTCTCCCAGGCACAGGACACAGGCAGGGTGCTGACGTCCTGCTCCGCCACTTCGGCCGGGAAGTCATGGTTCTGGATCTGCTGCATCAGTTGCCTGAGAGACAGAAGGGGCACAATCGGAAACCCTGAGTCCCCGGAACTCGGCAGCTTCATGAGAGTCACTTACTCATGAGCCTATTTACTTCCCCGGCCACTACGTCATCAGGAAGCAATTCAGTGCATTTCTAAAGCAAGCCTTTCTTCAGGAGCACCTTTTCAGTAACAGGGAAAGCACAAGTCACGTGCACTCATTACAATATTCTATTTATATAGAAATACCCTAGGCTTTTTTTGAAATAGTTACACCTTTATAAAAATCTGAAAAGAAATACAGATCAGTATCAGAGAATTTTCTTTCCATTTGTATTTTCTAAATTTCCTAAAGCATACATATATATATATATATATTTTTGAAGGTTTTACTTATTTGACAGAGAGACAGACAGCGAGAGAGGGGAAGGAACACAAGCAGGGGGAATGGGAGAGGGAGAAGCAGGCTTCCCTTCGAGCAGGGAGCCCAATGTGGGGCTCAACCCCAGGACCCGGGGACCATGACCTGAGCCGAAGGCAGACGTTTAACTGACTGAGCCCCCAGGCGCCCCGAGGAATGCATATATTCCTAATACAGGCAGAAAACGAACTATTTTTAAGAACCTTGTTAGTATTTACATCTAATCTAAACAAGACGATTTCTTACTCAACCAGACAAGAGCCAGCAGAAACCCCGTAAGAAACCTGCTCTTATCAAACCATAAACACGCGTCGTTGTCACTAACCATGTCGGCCCCGACATCACATAGTAGATAGTCGGCCTCTGGAACCCATTGAAAGTAGAAGCAGCAGCAACCGTGTAAGCACCCATGTTTTCAAAGACCATCCAATCGCCCACGTGCATCTCGGGCAAGTCGCAGCGCTCGACAATGCGATCCAGGCCGTCACATGTTGGTCCCCATATGCTGGTTGAATAGTACTTCTCATCTGGTTTGGGTCTCTACATTTGAGAGAAAAACGTAACCAGTTACCCCGGTTATGACCACACATCCTCACTGCTGTATATACTACGTTCAGAAGGTACCTTCTGCAGGAGGGGCTTCACGTGGGCATGATCATAGAGGATGCAATTGAACGATCCATACACTCCATCGTTCACGTAATACATAAAGGTTTGTTCACTCGACTCATCTTCATCTGGAAAGGCACAGAAGTCTCCGTTACCACTTTCTGTACCAACACACAGCTACGCGTGCAATGATTCGTCCTTTTTATTTTTTAATTTTATTATGTTATGTTAATCACCATACATCACTAGTTTTTGATACAGTGTTCCAGGATTCACTGTTTGCGTGATTCATCCTTTATACGTACCATCAGAACCTGTCTGTTCCTTTAATACGAGTTTTTTGGCAATGATGTTAACAGCGAGCGTGAAGGCTGAAGCAACGTAGTATCTGCCGGGCTCCGCTATGATTCGCACCCCCGAGTCGGCCGGGAAGTACTTGTCCAGGGCTGGGTTGATCACACTGGTGATCTACAAGGGACAGACAAGGACAGTCATCAAGGGGAACTCATGGCAGAGGGAGAACCAGTGACAGGCTACAACAAACGTGAGTGCAGGCGTCAGGTGCACTACCGGGCGACAGCAGCAAAACAAAAACCAACCAACTGGCGTCTCCCTAAAAACCAGCCTGCATATCCCCGTGTTTTCATTTGGATTCCCCTCTGGATACCCCCCTATCCTTTATAAAATGTTATGGGTAGGATTCTATCAAACAATACTATAAATGTATTACTGCTTACTGAGGTATCAAGGGGCCTAAATATTTTAAGCTATCAAATACACGCTAACAGGATAAAACTCTATTCTGCCTATCTCACAAAATTTTAATAAGAAGGTGGATCTATTTCACAAACTCGACCACTACATAATGGTCCACTTAATAAGATGTCCACTTGAACTTCCTAAGTGACTAAGACAGTTAAAGTGTTCAAAGGAAAGTACAAATTTTAGAAAACCCCATTTGGGGTAATGATGTACCGAAGTCCACATGCTCTTTCCTAAAGTAATCAACTATTTCCCACGATTTGGGGGGAAATTGACTCACTGTGGTTTAGAAAACCAAAGCCCATTAAATACAATTTTAAATAGCACAGAACTCACTGAAAATACCATACTAAGGCATTTTTATGTTTGTACAATTTCTTTTGTTATTACTTAAAAACATTTAAGTTCTGAAATACATGAAAATGGAACTTGCTAAAATAGCTATGAACATTTTTGTTATAAATTACCTCTTCAAATTTAAGCTTTACATCCTCAGATCCAGGAAAGCCACCACCGATATCAAGCAGATACATGTTGAAACCAACCTCAGCCTAGAGTCAAGAAAGTCAAGTCAATCGAGTAGCCAGATTGATAACAAGTCATAAAAATGTATGCAGCAGATGGATTTAAGCCTCTGGAATATGGGATGACTTCTGCAGAAAGTTAATGCTAGAACTGACTCTAGTTACTGTCAGCCCTGCTCCCCAGCCCCCCACCCCGGAATTGGGTTTACATATACTCACTCCCATGTCAAAGACACAGCGGGCATCAGAGATGGCTTGCACAAAGGTCTCAGGATCCGTGCAGCCACTTCCCACGTGGAAGCTGGGGCAAAGAAAGGAGAATATGCTATTTCTGAAAATTCCTATTTACAGTGGGAGAAAAACCTGTAAAACGTGCATTGTCTAGTATCTTAGCCTCCATGCCACCACCAAGAAGATCTCACCTGACACCAATGACATCAATATTTAGCTCTCTCGCCCGTTCCAAAAGAAGCCTGCTGATTTTGAGTGTGGCACCAAATTTAACACTGAGGCGACAGACTGCTTTGGAATCATCGGTGGCAATCCGCAAAACCAACCTAGAAGCAGAAAAATTGTATCACATTTCCCATGACAGAAGACCACTTAGAGCCATGGTTAAAAGCATCTGTGGCTCTGATACCCTGTGATTTGAGTCTCATTAAGTTGTTTGTTTTTTTTTTTTAAGGATTTTTATTTACTTGAGAGAGAACGAGAGAGAGAACAGAGGGAAAGGGAGAAGAAGACTCCCCTCCCCGAGCAGGGAGCCCAACGTGGAGCTCGATCCCAGGACCCTGGGATCATGACCCGATCCAAAGGCAGACGCTTAACCAACTGAGCCACCCAGGCGCCCCAAGAGTCTCCTACAGCTTTATTCATCAAGAGGATTTAAGATTTTCTACTTTGGCTCTGACCCAGCAGACTTTTATCCTTTACCAAAGTACAGAAATCTCAAAACTGTGAACTTGAATTTGACAGTGTGCAGATCCTGTATGTGACCCTGCCCTGCCCACAAATGGAGGAGTCACTCACTTTGCCTTTGGATGTGCCCTGGCAACTTTCATCAATTCAACTTCACTATCAAAAGTCATCATCTGGACTCCATTATTGGCAGCGTACTTAATCTGAGACACTTGTTTACAAGGATTTGCATAGATAATCCTCTCTGGAGACACCCCAAGACTTTGTACCAACTGTATCTCGGTCTGAAAAACATTGAGAGAGTACATTACGTACAGGAAGCTAATCAATGAAAGAAACAGGAAAACACAGGAGTTCAGTCCCCCCACTTGCATTACTATATATTGCCCAAGAAACACAACTTTGATGTGCCCTGTTGGGAGCACCAGGGCCCTTTGAGATCACCATTTTTGAGTCCTGCTGCTTTTGCTTACCTTGCTGGCACAGTCAAATCCTGTCCCAATGGTAGCAAGGGTCTTCACTATGGTTCTGCTATCATTGCATTTGACTGCATAAAAGGGGGTGACCCGAGGAAGAGCTTTTAACCATCTCAGATGTTTCTTTAAAATGTCTCCCAGGTCGGCGACATAGAAGGCGTCCTTATCATCCTACAGCAGGAGTGGTTGCAGGGAACTCATCAGCAGCCTCATCACACATCCCACATGTAGCCTCCCCTCTCCTTCCCATCAACGAACCCTCTGCTCTTTACCCTGGCCACCGACACGAACATCACTATCATCACTGAGTGATGTGCAGCCAGTAAATTCTGAATTCCCTGACAGGACATGCGAGCCCCACTCCATTTCCTTGAGACCGCACTGAGGTCTCTCACTGATGTGCCCAGCATTCTCAAAGCCGTACTGTCAGCACCGACTTAAGATACTTACAGAAGACGAAACTTCATTAATTTTTTGGTCCAGAATATCCTTGGCAGTAAAGCCTTCATCGAGGAAATGGCAGTCTAAATCTGCATTACTAAAGTTGTTCATGGTTTCTTGAAGTTCCTCCAAAACGTAACAAACTGCAAATAGGGTGGAGAAATTTACTCAGACGTGGTAGCAATACTCAGTAATTCTTCCTTTTTTTTTTTTTTAAGATTTTATTTACTTATTTATTTGAGAAAGACAGTGCGGGGCAGGGGGGAAGGGGCAAGGGGAAAGGGAAAAGCAGACTCCCTGCTCAGCAGGGAGTCAGATGTGGGGCTAGATCCTGGATGACCTAAGGCAGCGCTTAAATGTCTGAGCCACCCAGGAGCCCCAATACTCAGTAATTCTTAATAACAACCTGCAACAACCGTGAATACTTACATGGAAAACTAAGAGATGGAATTTAAACAAATTATTGCCAGTTTCTCACAAAGGCAATTCTCTGGAATTCCAAGTCCCGCTGAAGATGCGTGTGCCCTCAGGTGCAGCAGTGGAAATGTTCTGATAAAACAGAATTTGCTAGTCCACCTTAGGAATACAACAAATGGAAAGATCAGGCACTGACTGTGAGCACACAGGAAGCAGTGCTGTTCAAGTGCTCTCTGTAGATGGCTCACTCACTGGATTTGGGAATCCCATTATTCCAAGTGTAAGTCACAGGACTCCATAAACCTCTATGCAATCCAAGGACACTGTAGATTCAACACTAGACTTTCTCAAAGCAACACACTAAAATTCTGTACGTACTACTATATACCTCAAAATAAGCACTTCAAATATTCATGCTAAAAAACCTACAGAAAGCAGGTTTCAGAATCACTTCATTAAAACGGAAAAACTTTTGTAACGGTCAGTTTCATTTCTTTAGAAGCTTAAAACAGCATTTCAGTAATTATTGAAAGGCGCCTTATAAACGTCCACCTTCCGTTTTCACTAAGCCTTACACAGAATTTTTAACAACTAAAAGGCATCGTGGAAATGTCTAAGGCTACACTTATTGAGTGCTCTTAAGTTTCCTAGGAATTTTATGAGCTAAGTTTTATGCTAGTTTATTTTCATGACAGGCATGTATTTTTACAGAGAGCAATCTTCATATCAGCACGCTGTACTACAGTTGCTATATGTGCGCAGAAATCAGCATTCTTAAACCAGTGTTGGCTGTCATCAAGTCAGTGATTCTGCAAATCTCATCTGCCCTTACAGGCACCCTCATCCTTGCTTAGCTATGAACAATAATCATATGGAAATAGTTTTTGGCTAACTTTAAGAACGACAAAAGTAAGGAAGCAAATATGAATTATGAATAAGCAAAAATAAAGCTCATAACACTCAGAGCCACTGTCCTTGGTCTTCACGAAATCTGACACTGGTAAATGAGCTATCTTAAAATTATTGATTTTAACCTATTTAACTTCTGCTAGGCAGGACTTTCTTGTTTTCACTGTGCGACCCGCTTCAGTGCCTGCAGCCTATGACAGAGGCCAGGCAATGGTTCGGGGCCACGGTTTGCTCTGGCATGGGACACTATGAGAGGCCCAGGGAGACGAGCCTGCCATAAATCCAAACCCATGCATCATAGAATTTGTCCTTTGTTGTTGTTGTGTGGTTTTTTTTTTCCTTTCTTAAGATTTTATTTATTTTTTTTTAAATCTCTACACCCAACGTGGGGCTTGAACTTACAACCCCATGATCAAGAGTCGCACGCTCTACCTAGTGAGCCAGCCAGGAGCCCCTGGTAGAACTTGTTTCAAGACTTGATCTAACGAGACTTTCCATTGTCAACCTCCTACACTGCCGAAACCACCTCTAGGGGAAGTCAAGAGACTAAGGGGACAGCAAGCCCATTTTGGCCATATAAAATTAACACTTAACTCAGGTTCACGCAGTGACCGACTGGGCTAGTTAGGGTCTTGTTAAAAAGCTTTTGGGCAGTGTTCAAGCTTAAACTTGGGAGGTTATTACTTTGAAACATGTTACTATTAAGTATCTTTTAAAGCTCTACTTTAATAACTTATAATATAGAGAAACTTCACCTTTTAGTGTTCTGTATAGCTAAGTTACTTAAAACGATGGGTTAATGAGCACAAGATAGCACTTTTCTGCTATGAAATTCTCTCCTGCCAACTGGAAAGTATTATACAAGAGACAGAGACCAATTTAAACAAACTGAGAAAAAATTTCACAAGTCAACTAAATTATGCCCAATTTTAGCTTTAAATAAAGTCAACACATTCTTTGTCCTCCCCAGATATTTCTAAGAGGTTCTGCTCCCCACACTTACCAATTATTTGGGATTCTCAAACAACCACAATCAGCTTTTTTGGAAAATCTTAAGCGCTGCCTCCTACGTGTAAGTCCGTTCGCCCGAACTAGGATCTCAATATTCTAGGCCTTTCTTAAATCTCTTAAGTCATTCAAAGACTCCTCACACAGACAATTCTAAGGCACAGCTAATGGAGAATGTATTACCATAGTTACTACAAGGCTATCTCGTATCTTCGCTCTCGCAACTCCGGCGAATTTCTACATCGGGTCATTTCCTCTGCACACGAAAACTAAGAGAAACAAAATTCCAGGACAACGAGGCATCCTAATAAAAGTGAGCTGAGCGATGGGGGCCCGACACCTGCACGGGCTCGCTCCTACGTCTCCCTGCACCTGCTGCCGGGCCTGCCACATGGGTTTTAAAAAAGAATAGCGGTTGAAAGAACCACGGGCCTTCCCGACAGCTTCCGGCTCAGAATCCCCACTGACGTGGTTCGGAAGAGGTGAGACGCGGTCCCCTCCAGCCCTAAGCCGGCACGATCCGGGGCAGGTCGGGCGGCGGCGAGGGTGGCCGCCGGGCGCTCGCAGGCTCAGAGGGATCCGAAGTCCCGCTTCACGGGGGAACTCAGGCCCCGGAGGGTAGCCGCTCACCAGGGTCAGGGACCCGATGGCGCGACGACCACGTGCCCCTCGCAGCTCCAGGCGCGGGGTCAGTCCCGGGCCTCCGGCCCGCCGCGCAGAGACACGTGGCCGTCCCTCCTCCCGCCTCCCAACCGCCCGGACGCGCCCCCTCTCACCTTAGAGCGCACGGGCGCCGCGGGCCAGCCCCATGGAGATGCCGTCCCCGAGCGCGCAGGACCGCCGGCCGCCCTGCCGCCCCGGTCAGCCGGCCGCCCGCCGCCTCGCTCCCTCCCGCGGAGGACCGCCGGCCCGAGGTGGCGCCGGAGCTCTGGCAGAGGGGCGGCGGCGGCGGAGGCCGAGGGGACTGACAAAGCCGACCAGCCGCCGCTCCGCTACTTATAGCACCGCGCGTGTCGTCATGGAGACGCACCAGCTCAAACCAGCCGCGATCGGTTCCGTCCGGGCGTCCTCCGAGGAAGGGGGCGGAGCGCGGCGGCGGCGGCCAACCCGCGGCCGGACGGAGGATGGGGGGCGCCGGGCCCTTCAACGTCAGCGGCTCCGAGCGCCACCCGGCCCGCCCCCGGCCTCGCGCCCCTCCCGGCCCTGCGGCAGACACGCGCACGCGCACCCCGCCGCAGGACGCCTCCAGCGGCCTCGCACCCCTCCCGGCCCTGCGGCAGACACGCGCACGCGCACGCGCACGACGCCGCAGGGCACCCCCGGCGGCCTCGCGCCCTTCCCGGCCCTGCGGCGGGCCCGCGCACGCGCACGCGCACGACGCCACAGGTCCAGGGCCCTCCCGTGCCCGCCGCTCTCCGGGACATCAACCTTGGGGCAGGAGCAGGCGCCGCAGAGGCCGAATTTCAGCATCCGCTCTGGGCATTAACTGTTCTTCTACTTGGCTTTAAATGCCTCGTGTCGTAGGGCAGAGAAAGGAGATCGTGGGCACAAGCGGGCCACGTGGACCCCCTCCCCCGCGGGTGGACTCTGGCCGTTCCTGCCAGGCGCCTCCAGCCCGGAGGGAGGGACCTGGAACGATTCTGGCCTCACCCCAAGAACAGGGCGCAGACGTAGACAGGGGCAAGGTGCGTGCCGAGGGTCACCTGGCAAGTTGGCACCGCTTCCGAGCCACTGCGCCAATAGACGTATCCAGGTGTGTTCCTTCTAGATGGCTGGCAGCGACGACCACCCGAAGGCACACGTGCCGTATTAAGCCAGAGGCTTGTCTAAGGGCCTTAGGGGAAGGAGGTAGAGGGGCCACAGGCCACCGAGCTCCTCCACTGCCCTTTACCACAGTAGACTGGCAACTCGTCAGTGACTAGACATCTCTAAGGGCGGATGCGATTGCCTCGCTTTGAGGGAGCCCTGTAAGTCCCAGCACAGCAACTGAGTCTGCACAATGAATCCATAAAGGCAAAAGCCTTAGGAAATCTGTTATCCCTAGGAGCGTGCAGCCTCTGGTGGAGGACTGTGCCTCTGGGGTGTGGGCCCCAGGAAGGGGAGAAGGAACGTGGGGCACTTCTTTGTTCTTTCATTTTACCATTCTTTCCCTTGAAGACAAAATGCAACAATCACATCCCACCCTAGAGTGTGGGGTGTGGCCCACCTGAGGGTCCCTGGTGAGGATTTAAAGAACGTGTAAAGCTAGCCCAGGCAAGTCGTGGTTGGTGCAGAGGGACCTTGGAGGAGCTCCGTGCTCTACCGGGGTCCCTGGTGGGGACTTGCTGTGTGAGCTTGGGTCAATTACCTCCCTTCTCTGGGCCTTGGAGGAGTTTTGACTAGATGACATAAGGATCTTTACAGCGGCAAAGCCCTGTGAGGTTTTGAGAAACTTCCCTAGTACTGTCCCCTAGGCCTGGGGCACATCTTGCTCAACTTTACTTTTACATAGTCCTTGAGCAGCCACTGGGTGGGTGCCAGACATCGCTGGACTAGGGAAGGGAGTAGGGAAGTTATCTCCACCCTAACAAGCTTAATTCCTACCGAAGGATGAGATTAACAACCCAAGAGTAAACACGACAACCCAGACACTAAATGAGACAGCTTTAGAATCATGGTAAGCACCCTGGTATTTGTCCCCCCTCTGTGAAGAAACATTTTGTCCCAATTACAGACTTTTCCTCACATTCCAGAAGTCTTCCGTGTCCAGTGCCACGGCCAAGTGGGGAAGTGTCCACACCCCCAGCTCTCCTTGGCATGTCAATCAGCCAGTCATTGCCAGGCAAACATTGTCCCCGCTCTGCAGCCTCCTGCAGGCGGCGGGGACCGGATATCTCTGCACATGGGGTCCTGGTAGTGGCCCGGCCTGGAGGGAGGACAGTCAGCCCTGTCTTGCCTGCAGCTTGCCACTGTGGGAGTGTGACCTGGCCGCCTCCCTGACTCTCTGAGCCTCTGTGTCTCCAGCCATTAAGGGAACGTTTTGGGCCAGATCCAGGGTCCTGTTCCAGCTCAGCTGTGTGATTATATTTTAGATTTAGAGGTCTTAATTGAAATGAGAGGCAAGGTCTTGACTGAGGAAGCCGGGTGGTGGGTCCCCGTGCTGTACATATATACCACTCACACCCGGGTTGCCCGTAGGTGCTGCCGCTCCTGCTAGCCCACGCCAGGCATGCAAACTCCTGCCCACATGCCGTACTTTTCTCTGGGGAGGCCACGTCTTGCCCAGGTGATCCATCTGACCCAGATAGGGAAACAGAAGCAAGGGAAGGAGGCGGAGCTGCTTCCTTGAGCGCTGGCCCGGCTGGCTGCAGGCAAACTTTTGGAGAGGCCCTTGGCCTTGGGTCTGGGAGTTAGCAGGGCCTGAGTCATTAAACCCAGCCACTAACCTGGATTTGAGAAGATAAATTGGTCATGACTAAACCAGGCCTTATTCATACGCGTGGCGTTAATGTCTTTCTGCATATTTTCAGTAGACTCTGTCGTCTCCCAGACTCTTTCTTTCCTTGGAGAAAAGCAACAGATCCTTGTCAACTACGTGGTGGCCAACACCTAAAAGTTACACTAACGTGAAGGTGAGGTTTTTTTGTGTTTGGTGCAGAAGCTGTAATGGCAGCGAAGAAATACACCAAAAACCATGTTGGATGTGTATCCTTAGTTATGCCACCTAAGCCCCAGGACCAGTTCCCATTTGTTCAGCTACCCTCACCACTGAGCTCATTCTGGAACCCTTCCCTTCACTGGGTCTCTGGCTCCTCGTGTAAAATGCTCTCTGGCTGGATCGGCGTACGTAAATATGCAAAGCTCTTGCACTCTGATGTTCAAATCTCGAACTTCTTTTACAGCGAGGCTCATGTATAAATCCGCTGTATACGGTTTTTGAACCAAAAAATGAGGACGTGTCTGAAGAAGGGGGTGTTTTCTCTTCATTTACTGACTAACATGGAAGGGCTTATAAAGGTATATATAGCGAATACAAATTTAAGGAGTCCCCTTTACTGGAAATAATTAAAGAACATAAAAGACAACACTTGGCGAACACTTATGTATCCATGCAGTCGATGTTGGAATATTAGACATTGAGAACCTCCTGGAAAATGGGTTTGTGTTCTGTCCACATGTCCAAGGTCATCTGCTGCAGCACCAAATATCTTCCCAGAAACACAAGAGTCGACTTCGGAGTGAGGCTCTCGTGACATCCAGTTACATGGGGACCTGGGAGAGTTTAGGGCCCGTCCCACAAGTTTCCCTAACTCAGGACACCTGGGAAGCAGTCATGGGACACTCTAGTCACCTGTGGATGTTTGACCATGTGTTCTGAAGCTCAGTCACTCACCACTCACTGGCCTTGCCCTGGAATCGCCTGACATGTTTCCAAAAATCCGATCCACCCTCCAAGGTGGAAAGTGTGCTATCTTCACCCATGTCCAAATGACGTGCCCCGGGCACAGCGAGCTTCCGGGAGGCCCTCCTTGCTCTGAGCAACACAGGTGTCATCACAGAAGAGGGGCACCCCTAAATGTGTCTGTGGGAAGCCAAAGACACCCATGTGTAAGTGGAAGTGCCGGGACGTCTGCTTTATAAAGTGTTGTCTCACTGCCCCACCTCGCCCCCGCCCTGGTGGGGCTCCCTGGCAAGTTGCTGGCACAGAGGCCTTCTGGCGGGAAGGGGGCCAGGACCTCCTGGAGCCCAGCAGCACCCTGCGGCAGGTCACTGGCCACACGGTACATTGCAGAGAAAAGATGGCTTCTGTCCAGATGTGAAGAGCCGGAGTTCATTTGACTGGCAAATTGGTTTGAGCAATACTTTGCTTCCCACAGCCTGCCTTCTGACCAGCCTGAAGACAGAGTCCCAGGACGTTGTGTGCTGAGCCGGCATTCAGATATGCCACCTGCCCCACGGGGGCCGACAGCAGGACAAAGGTTTTCAGATCTGACCGCTTTACTTGTTTATCTACAACTCTTCACTAGTGGCCTGGGGCCCAGAGGGTGAAGTCGGGGCGCCTAGCCGGGCACCCAGGACCCTCTGAGGTCTGTCCCACTCCCTTTCCCCGTCTCTTCTCCTGCACCGGGCTGTGTGCCAGCCCTCCTAAACCCCTTTGTTCTGCAAAGCCTGCCCACCTGTCATCCCAGCGCGCCTCACGCAGGATGGGCGCATTGGGTCTTGGCCCCTATCTCTTCCTACTCCCTTTGAAGTCAGGACCACAATTTACTTACCTTCACACATCCAGTTGCTAGCCCAGTACCTGGCACACGAAAGTCACTCAACATTGTTAGCTTGGAGCGAGGGCTGCCCTGAGAAATCTGTGACTTGTGGTTACACGGCTGATTAGCTCGTGGGAATTTCTCCCTACGTGCCGTCTAAAATCAGAGGGAGAAAAGATGCTGAATATTCTTCCTTCGGTCATTCATTCATTCAATCCATGTTCATCCTGAGCGTCTCCTACATGCAGTTGGTGTGCTGGACAACAGAGGATCCTGGGGCTGCTGCTCTGCGCTGGGTGCTGGGGCATCTTGGCACATCTGCCAAGGGCCCGACCTTCTGACCTACTGCCTCTTCTGTTCGATTTTCTCCTAGGCTCCTGGTGACTGCCTCTGACCTCACCTGTGGCAGCACCTGTGCTGGGTTTTGCCACTGCCCCACTTCTTGCTGGAGCCCCACCCTGATGAGCCCAGACACACGTTGCCTTATGCCCGGGGCGCCCGAGGCTCAGCCCAGCACGATACTGTTGGCCCTTCAGTCTTGGGTCTGACTTGGCAGGAATGTGGAGCTCATACCAACCCCAGGCAGAGCACACCCTTTCCAGAAGGCCTGCGTTGTGCCAGGCCCTCCACATGCTGATCCCTGCCATGCGAGGAAGAACTCTTGCAGGCTCTGGGGTTTCCCAGAGGTGGGGCCCCACCAGTCCCCCTTCAACCTGTGAGCCCTTATTCTAGGCCAGGCCCCC